ATTACAGGTACATTAGTGTACCTACAAAATCCCAAGAAGTATGCCGAAGGACTAAACAATCCTGGTTATTTCCCCATGCCGAAAAAGAATGCAATGCGTCAAGAGATGAAAAATTTGTTAAGTCGTATAAATAAGCAAGTGATTGTGGAAACAGTGCAAGAGGGCCTAATGGAAGTAGAAAATATGCCAGCTAATCCGGAGCCCGCGAATTTTACTTTAGAACAAGAACTTGAGATTGAACTGAAACGAGAGAGAGAGAAAACTTTTATAACCAAAAAAAAACTGGTTCTCTAAAAGATTACGAAAAAATTTTTGAAAAAAATGACCGTTTATGAAACCGAAGGAGTGGAAGGCGATCATTTGTCCATGGTTTATGACTATTCGACGACCTTAAAACCGACCAGCGTAGAGGCCGAAAGGGTTTTCGCCGCAACCGGATATATATGCAGAGCTGTGCGAAGTAGGTTAGGCGATAAGACGATAGATAAAATATGTTTTTTAAGGTCTCACTTCCAAAACACTAAATAATTCATGTTTCTGTTGTTTAGAAATTTAGAATACAGACTGATTTTTATCATGATATCCAAAACAAAACTGGTCCTCAGTAAGCCATAGAAGAAAAACATATTACTTAACTTGTGTCAGGTCAAAATTGCCATTAATGCAATTTGCTTCAAATGAACTACTCTTACAACAGATAAGTTAATTTGGATAAAATTTCATTCGTGTCAATCTTCAGCCGACACCTATGTTTCACTTCCACTTCTTACTGAGTACAAGTTTTTTTTAATCTCATGATAATTGTGGCATTTGCTCTAGCCATTTTAAGTTAAAGAGAGGTAAGATTGATTGCGAATTGCGACTGATTATACGTCGTTATTTGATTATATAAACCTAAGATAATTTTTATTTTGAGTTTTTATTTTATTAGTTTGTATTAAAAAGCCTAAGTAATAAATGAACCAAAAAAAACATTAAAATCGTGTTTTTATTTTGATTCCACATTTTGCTGGATCTTGCAAAAATCTAGCTGGACTGAAAATGCTGCTGGATTGCAATCCCTAGCTGCGTGTCGATGCATAAACAACGCTGAATTTAAATTTTCACAAAATGTAAAAATTGTATATGAAAGCTGCTCTCTTCATCTTTAAGGCGCATTTTGATATTTGTCGATAAGACACTCTGATCAAATGATATTGAATTTTTACCATCGAGTGAATACGAATTTTATTTAAACAATTGATTTTGTTGTGCTTGTGTACCTAACTTTTATTCTGTACGAAATGACGTGTGTTAGTTGGAGAATTAAGTAACGAAACTCTGAAGGAAATGCACAAGTTTATTGAGTTAACAACTTAGGGTACAAAACGATACTATCTTAATGAATACAAACTATTTCTTAAAACCTTTCCTTGAACATATCGCTGACACCTCAAAATTATCAGCGTGGGTGTTTATCATCTCAGATGTAGTCTAAATATTTAAATAAAAACACACACTGTGGCTTGCTTGCCATAACACCTCCCTCCTGAAGACCGAAGCTGAGGTGTCCAAGAAGGGCTTCTTTTGCAGCTTCGATGTTTTGGCTTGTAGTGTAGAGCCTATCTGAACATGCTCCGCACATGGTAGGTAGGGCCACATGAAACAAAAACTAACCGGCAATAACTCATTCTACTTTTGTTGTTATGAGAAGGCAGTAAATGAAGTGTACCACAAGGTAATCGAATTATAAGTTGCAGTTATTATTGATTAAAATCCCTTTATAATATGGATAATAAAAGCTCGTATCTACTACTTGCCGTGTTACACTTGAACTTCGTTTAGTTAATCGCATCATAAAATGGTTTTACATTATTGAAATGAAATTTTCATAGACATAAACAACATATTATGGTCCTGTATATAATATCGATTTTGGTGTATTTGGATTTGTACTAGTCTTTTTAAGAGAATCTTATCTCCAACTTTATACTGTACTTCCAAGTTGCTCGTTTTTAAGTTATCAAAACGGTTCTTTTTCTTTTTCCTTTGATCGCATTGTTTTTCCCTTATATTTTCTAACTGATTATCAAACGAAATTTCACCAAATTCGCTATCATTTTTATATGGAAATACTAAATTATAGGGAGTAGTGAATGTTGAATGATGTTTACTAGAATTATATGCGTGTATAGCGACTAAAAGTGCATCTTCTAAGTCGCACTGGTTATGTTCTAAAAGATAGTTTCGCAAAGTACCTATCTGTTATGGTAGCATGGAAACGCTCAATTATACCGTTAGAGGCATGGTAGGTACTCAGACGAAGTAAGGTGCCATTCGATATTCAACGAATTAATAAAACTTTGCACCTTTTTATTATTAAATTCAACCTCGTGATCTGACATAATTATCTTAAAAGAAGGCCAAAAAGCGAAAAATAGTTGTTTAATTTACTAATTATCGGTTCTGTGTTTTTATCACTTAAAATATACGCTTGAGCAAATTTTGTTAGATTATCTATAACAGATATTACATTTTATATTACAAATATTTTAAAATTTTCATTACACAAAAGACACGGTAAAGTCCCTGGGATGTTGTCATACTAACAATTTGTGTTCTGAAGAGTTATTGAAAGTTAAAAAGACATTTAAAGAAAGTATATTTATTATAAAAAGTTGAACAATACAAAATAATACCAACTTATAGGAAAATAAAAATGAATGAACCGAAAAATCTGCTATCAGCGTTTGTGTCGATAAAAAAACAAATTATTTTATATAAACATTTGTTTTCAAAAACACGTTTTTAAAACTATATTGAATACCATTAATATTTTTCATACAAAAATTATTCTAAAACAAATTGTGCAAGTCCTGAAAATTGGCCTGTTGGTCACATTTCCTCACGCTTATTTACACATTCACTACACATTGTTTTGCTACATTGCAAACAGATCGGTTGTTTACACTGTATACACAGAAAACTTGTCTTCCTTTTCAATTTTGGGTTACATAAATAGCAGTACTTCCTAGCGTTCCTGGGTAAGGTATCTGTATGATCGTCATTTTCGGTTGGATACCGAACATTTTTCAGTCATGTCGCCAGGAGACCTAATTCCGTTGCCAAAAGTTGAAGCCGGAACAAAAAGAGCCGCAAAAAGCGTGGAAAGACTGCTGTCCTTACCGCCTCACCTTATAAGGTTGAACTGGAAGAATCTTTAAAGAAGATGCAAGCTATAAAGGAAGCTAAAGAGAAAAATATTAAACCGAGATTAATGTTTAAAAGTGATTAAAATAAACCCAGAGAAATTGAAACTCAACGAAAAAGGAAAGAAATGAAGAACAAACAGTCTAAAACCATGATACTATAAAAACAGTACTATAACAACTGTTTTGTTGTAGTATCATGGGCTAAAACTATCGAGCAAAAAGACAAAAGAGGGAATCTAATCATTATGAAAAGGAGACCAAAAAAGTGGCCTCTGATGGCGGACATATCCGGAAATGCGAATGCGCCAAATTTAAATTTTCCGACACTTATTAACAGTTGCTACTTATAAAATAATTTTCAGAATGGGTCTTAGACGAGAAACTGGTTGAACTAAATTTGATTTCTTAAACAAGGAAAGACTCTCTTTCCTTGTTTAATGTGGCCTCTCAAGATGGCACTACCTGTCTACCAATATTTTTGCCCCCACTACCTTTACATTCCCTCTTTTGTGTTTTTGCTCGATGGCTAAAACAGGTTAAAAGACGATACGGCCTGTTTGTATTGGCGTGATTACTTTTCTAAGTCCAATGAAGGCTGGTGTTCTTGTAGCATTTATAAGAAATGGGCACACCTAGCATGTGCTGGTTTAGATAGTGACGATGATGAAAGCGTTCTCGTCTGTAAACTTTGACAATGATATTAGCTATAGTATGGGGCACCCCATTGTGCCCCGGGGGTGAGGCAGAATGGGAAATTTCCCTTTGTAGGCTTCTTATTGTTACCGCCTTTTTTTAATTTAAAATTTGATGTTCTGTCATGGTGTAATGACAGCTGACAGACGACAAGAAGATTGTAAGACACGAGGTCGGAATAAAGTTGCGTGAACCATGTTTGTGTTTTATTTTTACATCTTAAGAAATTGAAGACATCCTTTCTACAGAATCAGGTGTGGGGTTATACTTATGTTCCCCTTGTGCTGTTAGGACAGAAGGATATTATATTTTTTATGCTTCGTTATGGATAACCTCGAAAATAACTTACCGGTTACACCACCACCTGTGTTATCACCCCAAGTGAATAGCCCCCGCGCAAATAATAATGTGAATCCGAATCCGGATGATAATATGGTAAACCTTGTTAATTCATTGCTTCAACAGAATGCACAGATGCTTCAGATGTTACAACTACAAAACAGTATGTCAACCATAAGTAATCCTGTACCAAATTTTAATATAATGCCAGACTTATCTAAAAGTATTGAAAAATTTAATGGTGAAGGTGATTCCAGCCAAGCTGCAGTATGGTTAAAGCAAATTGAGTCTACAGCGGTACTTCACAATTGGCCTGATGCATTTATATACCAAACAGCCAAAAGCAATCTCGAAGGTGCTGCAAAGTTCTGGTTTATAGGCCGAAATGAAGAAGTCACAGATTGGTCTAAATTTAAAACAGCTTTCCAGAAAACGTTTCTGTTTTTCACAAAATAAAACAGATTTATGGAGGAAGATGCAAGAGTGTACTCAAAATCCAAATGAGAATGTTTCCATTTATTTCCATATGAAAGTTTCTCTATGCAAAATCACTTGAACTGCCCTTTGAAGAAACAAAAGAACAAATTGCCATTGGTTTGTGGAGTAAGGAACTAAGTAATTTTATTATGTCAAAAGAGCATCGTGATGAAGACACCCTGTATCAAGACATCGTGAGTTATGAAAGAATTGTTAGTGCTAGAAAAGGTAGAATAAGCGATAGAAGAGAGAAACCTAAAGCAAAGGAAAACTATAATACAAAATATGAACATTCAAAATATGACTGGCAAAGACCAACTACTTTTAAAAATAATTCAACTACACGAAGCAAAGCTATTAGATGTTACAACTGTAATGAGATGGGACATTCTGCAGTTCAATGTACTAAAGCAGCTAGACAGAAGGGTTCATGTTATATGTGTGGAGCAATGGATCACCAAAGAAAATAATTGCCCCAAGAATGAGTCCAGGAGGAATCCAGTCAAGGTAGACAGTAACACTGCACTTTTTGTGGAACAGCATAATGCAAGTGGGTATATGTTGCCAATTTGTCTTTTGAAGGACAACATTTCTATTTATATTGATTCTATTGTAGATTCAGGTAGTGCTATATCCTTAATAACATTAGATACTGTAAAATCTTTCAATTTTGAATTTTGTGATATTCCTGAGAAAACTTTCCAGGGTATTAACCAAAGTAGATTAGAAATTTTGGGTTCTGTTTTGTTTAAGATGAAAGTTAATGACATATTTATTGATTTACTTATTTATATTGTACCAAACGAAACCATACCATATAAATGTCTGTTAGGTAGAGATTTTATGCAAAATGACAACCTTACCATTTCTTTTTCAGGGAATAAAGTAGAGATTTCTTCTAAAGATATTGAAAATAAAAATATTGGCAATGATATTTTACATATTGACTATGTAGATAAAAATGAAATTAATATTGATATCAATCCTAATTTAAATAATTTAGATAGACAAAAGTTAGTTGATATTTTTATGACTGATTATGTAAATCCAGAAAGACCTAATGAACCTATGACTAAATGTGAAATGAAAATTGTTGTAGATCCAAATCATGTTCCTTTTTATAATAAACCACGTAGGTTATCATATGCTGAAAAAAATGCTGTACAAGAAATAATTAATGACTTGTTAGATAAGGATATTGTTCGTAAGAGTAATTCAGAGTATAGTTCACCAATAGTTTTAATTAAAAAGAAAACTAATGACTTCAGACTATGTGTAGACTATCGTTCATTAAACAAGATCACTTTACGGGATAATTTTCCAATTCCACTGATTGAAGATCAACTTTGTCAACTTAAAGATAAACGTTATTTTTCAACTTTGGATCTCAAAAGTGCTTTTTATCACGTTAATGTAGAAGAATCTTCAATTAAATACACATCATTTGTAACTCCCAGTGCTCAATATGAATTTTTGAAAATGCCATTTGGTTTGCGCAATTCACCATCTGTTTTTATGCGATACATTCATACTATATTCAAGCACTTAATGGAACATAACAAATTACTAATATATATTGATGATTTATTAATAGCAACAAAAACTGTTGAAGAGAACTTAGATATTCTAAAAGAGATATTTTGCTTATTGGTTCAAAACAAATTGAATCTCCGTCTTGACAAATGCTCCTTTTTAATGACTGAAATAAATCATTTAGGCTACATAATTAATGGTGATGAGATAAGGCCAAGTGATAGACATATTAGTGCAATTAAAGAGTACCCAGTACCACGAAATGTTAAACAGTTACACAGTTTCATAGGCCTTACTTCATATTTTAGAAAATTTGTTCCCAACTTTTCAATAATTGCTGGACCACTTTATGATCTATTAAAAAAGAATGTTTCATTTGAATTTGGAAGAGAACAAATGAAAAGTTTTTATAGTTTAAAACAAATTTTAATGTCCAAACCTGTTTTAGCTCTCTATTCTCCTACAGCTGAAACCCAAATCCATTGTGATGCAAGCTCTAGTGGTTATGGTGGGATATTACTCCAAAAGCAAGCAGACCAAAAATTTCATCCAGTGTTCTTTTACAGTCAGAGAACTACGCAAGCTGAATCTAAACAGCATAGTTTTATTTTGGAACTAAAAGCCGTTATCAACACACTTAACCGATTTAGAGTATACTTATATGGAATTAAATTTAAGATACTGACAGATTGTAATAGTGTAACAACAGCTTTACAGAAGAAAGATGTTAGCCCTAAGATTATGAGATGGAGTCTCATTCTTGATAATTTTGATTATATTATAGAACACAGAAGTGGAACAAGCATGAAGCATGTTGATGCTTTAAGTAGGTGCTTTGGAAGTATTTTAATAATAGAGGAAAACACTTTTGAACATAATTTAGCTATTAAACAAGGGCAAGATGATATTATATGTAACTTAAAGGAGACGTTACAATCCAGTGAGCATAAGTTGTTTGAGATGAACAATGACATACTTTATAGAAAATGTAATAATTTACTACTATTTTATGTACCTGAATCAATGGAAAACAATGTGATTAGGAGTTGCCATGATGAATTAGGACATGTGGGCTTAGATAAATGTTGTGAAGCCATAAAAGAATGTTACTGGTTTCCTAATATGAGACAAAAGGTAAGAACTTATATTACAAATTGTTTGAAGTGCATTGTATTTGCTCCTAACAGTGGTAAAAAGGAAGGATTTTTACACAACATACCAAAGGGAGACAAAACCATTTAATATTTTACATTTGGATCATTGTGGACCACTTGAAAAATCTAAAGGAACTGGTTATAAGCATATTTTTGCAATTGTAGATGGTTTTACCAAATTCTTGAAATTGTATGCTTGCAAGTCAACTAATTGTAATGAGGTTATTAAGTATTTAAACTCGTACTTCTTTACTTACAGTAAACCTTTAAAAATAGTCACTGATCGAGGCTCAGCTTTTACATCCAAACAATTCACTAAATTTTTAGAAGATAATGGAATACAGCATGTTCTTGTAGCTACTGGTGTACCAAGAGCCAATGGACAAATTGAAAGGTTCAACCGGTTTATTATACCAATGATAGCGAAACTAACCAAGGGCCCAGAATGTTGGGATCAAGTACTTAATGAAGTTGAATTTGCTGTCAACAACACTGTTAATCGAACTACAGGTCAGACACCTTCTAAGCTATTATTTGGAATGAACCAAGTAGGAAATGTCAAAGATAATTTAAAGTATTTTCTGTCATCCATTAACAAAGACAAGTCTGATATTAATGAATTACGACATAATGCAAGTGACAAGATAGAGAAATCCCAAGAAGTCAACAAGCTGTATTATGATTCAAGACATAAACAAGCTTCAATTTATAATATTGGTGATTATGTCATGACACCTAACATTGATGTTACAACCTGGTGTAAATAAGAAACTATTACCTAAATTTAAGGGACCTTATATTATTAAGAAAATATTACCTAATGACAGATATCTAATTTCTGATGTTGAGGGGTTTCAGATGACTCAGAAACCATTCGAAGGTGTATTTGATGCTGATCATCTCAGATTATGGATGAAATCATCAAACTAAACTTAGTCTTCCTCTACGACTTAATAGTTATGGATTTTATCCATATAGAACTTAAGATTTTATTTAAGTATTTTAAGCTTTGATATTATGGTTCTTATTTTAGTCACATTTTTGTTCATACTGAATTACTTACTTTATGTTTAGCAACTACAGCTTATATTTGCGCAAAACAATTAATATCTATTATTACCCATTATGTCTACAATTAAGAACTTATACTTATGATGAATTACGTTTATGAGGAATAATTCCTGAAAGGTGTTTATATGATAACTTATGCCTATGACAAATATTTATGATTGTTATGATTTTGTCATGTTTATGTACTTTCAATGACATGTTATGACTAATATTTATGAATCTTATGATTTTGTCATCTTTATGTACTTTCAATGACATGTTATGACTAATATTTATGAATCTTATGATTTTTGTCATGTTTATGCACTTTCAATGACAGTTTATGACAAATAATATGTTATAGCAAATATTTATTAATGTTATGATTTGGTTATGTTTTTATGTATTTCCAAATGGTTTATTTTTGTATATGGAAGAGCGAGGACGCTCTTGTTGTCGGTTGGCCGAGCTGTAGGCTTCTTATTGTTACCGCCTTTTTTTAATTTAAAATTTGATGTTCTGTCATGGTGTAATGACAGCTGACAGACGACAAGAAGATTGTAAGACACGAGGTCGGAATAAAGTTGCGTGAACCATGTTTGTGTTTTATTTTTACATCTTAAGAAATTGAAGACATCCTTTCTACACCTTTATTTTTGTAATGCACATTTTTCTCAGAAACGTTTGTTTTTTATAACTTTAGCTATATTTTTCTTGTAAAGAAATAAATAAATAAACATAAGATTTGCCAAATGATGGTGTAGTTTCATTAAATATCGCACAAATTACTATCAAATTAGGTACCCCGTTCCACCCCGGGTTCCCCTACTTTAAATGCAGTTAAATATTGTAAATTATTTGACAGCACTTTCCATATCTTGTCCTTCTTCTCATTATTATGTGTGAATGATCATTTTTTCACAAAGTGATTCAAAATTTGCACTTACAATCTTACAAATTTTATCTTTATTAATTAAAATCTATGAATTTTTAAATTATTTCAATGCATTTCTATTATATACGGTAATTTAATTAATACTATTAATTTTTTATATCATTTTAATTAATTTTATTGTATATGCATTAATTTAATTATTATCTATATTTTAATTAAATTATACGAATTTTTATATAATTTCAGTGCATTTCCGTAAAGATATGGCAACTCTGACACAATTTAAATGGCTTATGTTAAATGTCAAATATATAAGTTTGGTTATGGTCTATGGTCATATGTCATATTGTCATGTTATGGTTATTATGGGTGCCCTTTTCTAATATTATATTATTTATCTATGCCCTAAACCCTAAACCAACTTAAACTAATCGTTGCATCAAAGAATATAGACGTTGCATGTTGCATTGCCTTTATTTCATTTAGTCAAGATAAATCAAATGGAAGTAAAACAAGAATTTAGTGAAAAGCTGTATAAAATAGAACCAGTAGATTATGAGGTGGATAATTGTGTTTTGGATAGCTTTAAAATTGAGACTACTGAAGAACCTAAGAGAGAAAGTACACATAATACATCTGATTATTTAGAAAACAAAATCTCCATTAAGACTGAAATAGAACAAGATCATACACCTAAATTATTGGAAGAGAAACAAACAAAGAAAGCAGGTAAATAAATAAATAAAGAAAAATGGTGTATATATAATGTGTTACACAATTTCTCCAGCCCAAAAAATATTTAGTTTTATTTTCATTTCTTCAAAGTTTCCATGTTGTGCAAATTAGAGTTGATAAAGAAGTAACACAAAATCCATATATCCATGGTTAAGACACATAATACCTATAATAATTTTCACATTGTCATTGGAGCCAGAATTCTGGTGTGATACTTTTTTACATGGAATATATCATTAGTTCTTTTGAAATCAGGATGTGGTCAATTTGATTTACTTCATTAGGTTTTAGTATTCTCTTTGTTCCTTTATCCATGGTTTTTGTCTTGAAATTAGTGCAGATAACTACATAATTATTTGCTATTGGAAAATATGTTTGCAGGGTTTTTTTATTTTTCTATTTTAGTATTAAGTAGTCACCCAAACAGTATAATAGGCTCCTGTCTTATAATTTTATCATATCATTGTATATCTTCCAAGACTATTTCTATCACTTCTGCAACATCTATTGATAATTTACCAATGTCACATTATGCAATTTACATTTAAGACTGACTCTATGTTGTAAATTATGTCTGGTATTGATGTAAATATAATAGAGCAATTTTTTTGTTGTTATTACTCTACTCTTGTTTCATCCTTTCCAGTTTGATTTCCTGATTATTGGAAATTTGTTTTTATACATTTGTCCCTTACTACTCCATCATATGCTCTGCACTATAAATACTTCTGTAAACAATCACACTAATCTGGTATCTTTTTATAAAATTACATGAATTGATTATTTATTATCCAAGACAAGTTAAGATTTTGAGAAAATAATAAATATTATATTGTTGTCTAGTAAATATGTTTATTACTGACTACACATCAACAAAATGGACATACCATAAAATACATTTTACAAAAACAGAAATTACCATTAAAACGAATTGGGTTTTTAAAATAATTATTTTTTAAATTATATTATTTACCTTAACCAAGTAACTGTAATATTTGTTTTATAATAAATGTTATTCAAATGAAAACGTAAAAATACATAAAAAATATAAAGACTATAAAATATCATGATACACGTAGGTATGGGAACATTATTACTTAATACAATATACCTACAAATTTGTAGAATACAAAAAATATAATAAATATTTGTTATATTTTTATATAACAAAAAAAAATTAAATATATCCTGATCGAATGCATGGACGGATTTTTTAAAACTTCCACTGAATACTATTAAGTTTTTATTTATTTATTTTTTTTTCAAAAAAAGACAATGACTCTACCATCTGCTTCCATGGAAAAGTTGAGCATATAGTAATTTGTTTCATTAGAAAAAAAAAAGAGTATGGCACTTGGGGAGTTAATACAGAGGTGAATAATTATTATAGCATGTTATAATATGTAGGTTAATGAAATTTGATGTCTGCTTATTACTGAATTAAATTGATATAAGGTTGAATGCTCGAATAAATGAACTTTGATAAAATGAAAGGCAGATATCGAGCACAGATTTTTTAATTAAATCTTGCCCAAGTACTTTCGCTTCCTAGAGCATCTTCAGGGGCATTTTGTCAAACGATATTTTTATTAACAGTATAATATAATATAATAACAATTCCATTTTTTATTAACAGTATATTTGCATTTTCCAATCATACACTGTTGGTTTCAGTCCATAACATTAATTTAATAGTTAAATCTGATTTTAGGTTTTTCATGTAAAGATATAAAAACTGATCCAAGTAATATATTAAAACAAGATAATGATGGAAGTAGTCAATTGAACCAGTATTTAACTGCTGCTATGACAATGAAAACCAGAGAAAAACCTTTTATATCAGAAGTTTTTCCTAAACAGTCTACAACACCCACAGTTTTAAAAACCCATGAAAGAATGCTTAACAGGGAAAAAGGTTTAAGGTGTAAAATATGCAACAAACAGTTTTTATATCATTCCAAATTAAAAGCACATGAAAAAGTTCACACTGGAGAAAAAACATTTACATGCGAAATTTGCAAGAAACAATTTAAAAGGAATTATGAATTAAAAAGACATTTAATAGTTCATACTGGAGAAAAACCATATACATGTGAAATTTGCATGAAACAATTTACAAGGAATTTTGAACTAAAAAGACATGCAATAGTTCACACTGGAAAAAAACTATATACATGTGAAATTTGCATGAAAAAATTTACAAGGAATCCTGAACTAAAAAGACATGCAATAGTTCACACTGGAGAAAAATCATTTACATGTGAAATTTGCAAGAAACAATTTAAAAGGAATTATGAATTAAAAAAACATTTCATAGTTCATACTGGAGAAAAACCATATACATGTGAAATTTGCATGAAACAATTTACAAGGAATTTTGAACTAAAAAGACATTCAATAGTTCACACTGGAGAAAAACCATTTACATGTGAAATATGCACCAAACAGTTTTCAACTAATTATGAGTTAAAAATACATTTAAGAGTTCATACTGGTGAAAAACCATTTGCATGTGAAATATGCAACAAACAATTTTCATGCAGTTCCCTATTAAAAAAGCATTTAAGAGTTCACACTGGAGAAAAACCATTCACATGTGAAATTTGCATGAAACGTCTTTCAAGTAATTATGAATTAAATATACATTTAAGAGTTCATAGTGGTGAAAAACCATTTGCATGTGAAATTTGCACCAAAAAATTTTCACGAAGTTCTAATCTTAAACATCATATGGTGGTAGTACATTATGTAGAAAAACGTTTTGCATGTAACATTTGCACCAAACAGTTTTCATGGAGTTCTGACTTAAAAATACATTTAAGAGTTCATACGGGGAAAAACCATTTGCATGTGAAATATGCAACAAACAATTTTCATGGAGTTCCCAATTAAAGATGCATTTAAAAGCTCACACTGGAGAAAAACCATTCACATGTGAAATTTGCATGAAACAACTTTCAAGTAATTATGAATTAAAAATACATTTAAGAGTTCATACCAGTGAAAAACCATTTGCATGTGAAATATGCAACAAACAGTTTTCACTACATTGCAACTTAAAACAACATAGCAGAGTTCACACTGGAGAAAAGTCTTTTGCGTGCGATATTTGCAGCAAACAATTCTCAAACAAGAATGGCTTAAAGAGACATATATCACTGCATACTAGTGAAAAAAACTATCAAATGGAAAATATTTAACAAACAGTTTTCAACAAGTTTCACTGTAAACATATAAAAATCAGAAGTGGAAATTAAAACTTCTAAATAATTATATTTTTAACCAAAATAGTCAATTCCAATTAAAAATAGTAAATAACATAGGAACAAGACACAGAGTAGAGCAAGCCCTTTGAACTATACATCAAACAATATTCACGAAGTTCTTATTCAAAATGTCATGAAATTGACTAGTGGAAGGTGTTTTATAGAAATTGTACTTGAAAAATAAACAATTAATAGTACTGATGGCTTGTTTATTGTACGTGTATGAATCTGTAAGACTTCTTCTAATGATGCTACAATCCTCTGTGAGTCTTGGCCTGCTTAACAATGTTCTTCCATTCTGCCCTGTCGGATACTTTCCTTCCTCTTGTTCTGTTTCCTTGGGGCTTTCATTTTTGGACTACTTTTACAGCTCGATTATCTGGCATTCTTTCTAGATGACCAAGCCAGTTTAGTCTTTGTAACTTTACATCTTGGTTAGTTGCAAACACCCTTTGCATTTGCGCCTCTTGTTATTTTCAGGGCCACTTTTTCCAAGCGTGTGTATCCGTTTTGGTGTTCTTGGCCATACTAGTTGTTCAATAAGTGACACCCGAAATAATTCTTTACACAATGCATCTCGAAAATCCAACATGGACTTTTTGTTCTCATTGTGTTTTCTGTTATAAAGTATCCATGCATTAACTACACAAGTATCAAAAAATAAAGAAAATGCGGCTTTTCTGTATCATTTTTTGGTTTTTCTTAATACAGTATAGTATGATCCCATTTGATCACTAAAAAAATAAATTATTATAAAGTTTTATACACATTTAATTAACATTTTATTACCTGTAATCTACTACCTTTTTGGCAGAATTGTAGTCTATAATACATGATGGTTTTAGAACAGTTTGGTCAACAAATTTTTCCTGTCTCCATTAGCACATCATCATGATGTTCATTGGTTGATAACATTAAAACAGGTCTTTTATCCTGCCATCTGATTACCTACATGTTTAATATTTAATGCCTCAACATTACCATTCATCTGTTTCCTTTCCTTAACATTTACTGCCTCCGAAACACTTTCTACTTCACTGCCATCGTCGCTATAATGAGAGTTTGAAGGTTCATAAGGTTTGTCACATATTGAATCATCCGAATCAAAATCTGATTATGAGTCACTATGTATGTATAGCGATAGCATTTTGCACAACTTTTTTGTTCTGCTCCTAAACATTGTACATCCACTAACTTTGACTGTCTAAGCAATACTGTACTTGTACGCAGTTCAGTACTGTGCCTGTGTGGTGTCTATATTACGTTATTTACATTATCAAGCTTAGTTTCGCATCATGGTAAAAAGTTATATGATATTGTCACTATTAGTCGTCAGCTGATGACCTCACAATGAGAATGGCCGTTGTAATATAATACATATTATGTTTATAATAAGATTTTTATCAATTGTTTAATTTTTGGCGAGATTTTTATGAAATTTAATTTGATTAGTAGGCTTTTTAGTGAGGAAGAACTATTATTAACGCCTTAATGTTTTTACTCCGAAATTTGTTTTCAGTCACTATAAACTAATATTTTTTTACTAACAGCTTCTATTTGCCTTTTCCAATCATACACTGTTGGTTTCAGTCCATAACATTGATTTAATAGATAAATGTGATTTTAGGTTTTTCATGTAAAGATATAAAAACTGATCCAAGTAATATATTAAAACAAGATGATGATGGAAGTAGTCAATTGAACCAGTATTTAACTGCCGCTATGACAATGAAAACCAGAGAAAAACCTTTTATATCAGAAATTTTTCCTAAACAGTCTACAACAGAGACCATTTTAAAAATCCATGAAAGAATGCTTAACAAGGAAAAAGGTTTAAGGTGTAAAATATGCAACAAACAGTTTTCATATCATTCCAAATTAAAAGAACATGAAAAAGTTCACACTGGAGAAAAAACATTTACATGCGAAATTTGCAAGAAACAATTTAAAAGGAATTATGAATTAAAAAGACATTTAATAGTTCATACTGGAGAAAAACCATATACATGTGACATTTGCATGAAACAATTTACAAGGCATTTTGAGTTAAAAAGACATTCAATAGTTCACACTGGAGAAAAACCATTTACATGTGAAATATGCACCAAACAGTTTTCAACTAATTATGATTTAAAAATACATTTAAGAGTTCATACCGGTGAAAACACATTTGCATGTGAAATTTGTACCAAACAGTTTTCAACTAATTATGAGTTAAAAATACATTTAAGAGTTCATACCGGTGAAAAACCATTTGCATGTGAAATATGCAACAAACAATTTTCATGGAGTTCCCAATTAAAAATGCATTTAAGAGTTCACACTGGAGACAAACCATTCACATGTGAAATTTGCATGAAACAACTTTCAAGTAATTATGAATTAAAAATACATTTAAGAGTTCATACCGGTGAAAAACCATTTGCATGTGAAATTTGCACCAAAAAATTTTCACGGAGTTCCAATTTAAAACATCATATGGTAATACATTATGTAGAAAAACGTTTTGCATGTGACATTTGCACCAAACAGTTTTCACGGAGTTCTGACTTAAAAATTCATTTAAGAGGTCATACTGGTGAAAATCTATTTGCATGTGAAATTTGTATGAAAAAATTTTCGAGGAGTTATGACTTAAATATACATTTAAGAGTTCACACCAACGAAAAACCATTTGCATGTGAAATATGCAACAAACAGTTTTCACTACATTGCAACTTAAAACAACATAGCAGAGTTCACACTGGAGAAAAGTCTTTTGCGTGCGATATTTGCAGCAAACAATTTTCAAACAAGAATGGCTTAAAGAGACATATATCACTGCATACTAGTGAAAAAAATTATCAAATGGAAAATATTTAACAAACAGTTTTCAACAAGTTTCACTGTAAACATATAAAAATCAGAAGTGGAAATTAAAACTTCTAAATAATTATATTTTTAACGGAAATAGTAGTCAATCCCAATTAAAAATAGTAAATAAAATAGGAACAAGACACAGAGTAGAGGAAGCCCTTTGATCTATACATCAAACAATATTCCCGAAGTTCTTATTTAAAATTACATGAAATTGACGAGTGGAATGTGTTTTATAGAAATTGTACTTGAAAAATAAACAATAATAGTACTGATGGCTTGTTTATTGTACGTGTATGAATCTGTAAGACTTCTTCTTATTCTTAATGGCGCTACAACCCTTTGTGAGCCTTGGCCTGCTTAACAATGTTCTTCCATTCTGTCCTGTCGGATACTTTCCCTCCTCTTGTTCTGTTTCCTTGGGACTTTCATTTTTGGACTACTTTTACAGCTCGATTATCTGGCATTCTTTCTAGGTGTCCAAGCCAGTTAAGTCTTTGCGACTTTACAAATCTAACAATATCTGCGCTGTGCATTAGTTCTTCCAGCTCGTGGTTAATTTTAATTCTCCACGAACCATCGCTGCATTGGGTTGATCCAAATATCTTCCTTAGTATTTTGCGCTCAAATACTCTCAGTTGATTTTCAACAGTGGTTGAGGGGGTCTACGTTTCACATCCATATGTGACCACTGGTCTAATTACTGTTTTGTAAATTCTAAGCTTAGACTCACGATTCAGTAACTTACTTTTCATTATTAAGTCTTTGCATGCATAAAAGCAGTTATTACTGCTAAGAATCCGTGCTTGTATTTCTTGACTGATGTCATTTAATATTGAGCCTAGACAGGGAAAAGTAAAGGCATATTTGTAGGTATGGTTGTCTACTTTCAGATTCTCATGTTGATTCTTTTTTGTGCCCTCCATATATTTTGTTTTGCTTTCATTTATATATAGATCAAACGTAGAAGCTTCTTGTTTCAGTTCTATAAATTTTTCGCTTAATACCCTTTTGTTGCGGCTTATTATGGCAACATCATCCGCATATGCGCATATTGGTATTGATCTTGTATTAATACAGCCGTTTATATCCAGTATTCTAACAAAAGCTTCAAAAGTTAGATTAAAAAGTATTGTTGATAAGGCATCACCTTGTCTAACTCCATTTTCAATATCAAAGAACTGCGTCATATCTCCATCTATTCTCACCATAGCTTTGGAACCCTCCAGAGTCATTCGTATAAGTTTAACCAACTTATTGGGTATCCCTAACATAGATAGTTGCTTTAACATCTTTTATCGATCTACTCCATCAAACGCCTGTTTGAAATAGATATACAAGTTGTAAATAGGTATGTTATATTCAACACATTTTTCATGTATACCTCTTAACGTATGTATTTGTTATATAGTTAACCTCTTTGGTCTGAAGCCACATTGGTATTCACCAACCATCTCCAAAAACGATTCCAGGCGGCTGTATATAATCCATGATAATATCTTGTAGACGACATTTAAAAGTGTTATGCCCCTCTAATTTTTGCAGAGTCGTTTGTCGCCACCTTTGTACATAGGAAGTATGATTCCTACTTTCCAATCTTCTGGGATGACTTCTAGTGTCCATATGCGGTCGATTAGTTTATGGATACGCCTCCACAGCGCATGTCCACCATTCTTTATTAGTTCTGCAGTTATTCCATCTGTGCCAGGTGCTTTGTTATTTTTTAGATGTTTTATTACGTTTATCGTTTCTTCCAATGTTGGTTGCTCAATTAGTTGTTCTGCTGTGTGGTGAATTATTTGTTCGTATTCGTTTTGTTCTTTTTCTGGGTTTAACAGCTCTTGAAAATGTTCATTCCACCTTTTCATTATTTCCTCTTTCTCGCTGATAATTGCCCCATTGTTGTCCTTGCAAACTGTTGATTTTGTCATGTATCTTTGGGTGTATTGCCTGGTTTCCGTCTCTCTTCTGTTATTATAATCTGTAATTTTTTGTATTTTTCTATTCAACATTTCTCTCTTTTTCGTTCTACATATTTTCTTTGCATCTTTTCTTCTGAGTTCTTCATATGCTCTTCT